AAAGAAACTCTTAAACATATAGTTCATTAATATCAAATTGAATAAGCTTTTATTAGCTGAAGCTATCAAACTATAGTAATGGTTCAGTAGAGCAATTTGTTTTGCTCCCCTCCAGAGGGCCGGGTAATGGAGTCTGCTGGTCAAGCCTTCCTTCTCTGTAATATAGAGACAGAATCCATGAAGACCATTTTTGTTAAAATGGGTTTTGTTTTTGTTTTTCAAAAAGATAAAGGTCCATTTATGTTTGGTCTGAAAACACCTTTCTTGCATTTTTTATTTAAGTTGTTAATAACCTAGTCATGTTATTCATTTTAGATATTTATCTCCTAGCTTTAGAGTAGGCATTCTAGTTCCTTAAATAGCTTCAGTGTCACAGAAGACAACCAACCGTATCTCTCCAGGGTCTAAGAACACTGAATCACATATGTTTTGAGCTCTGCACTCTGATTAAAGATTTTAGAAATATAAAAACTAAAAAATTCATGTGGAAGTTGGGTTTGTTTTTGTTTTTTCCCTTTCTTTTGGTACCAGGGATTGAACCCAGGGGCTCTTAACCACTGAGTCATATACAATTTTTAGTTTTTATTTTGAGACAAGGTCTCCTTAAGCTGCTGCAGCTGGCATTGAACTTGTGATCCTCCTGCCTCAACCCCCTAGTCACTGGGATTATGGGCAAGCTCCACCACACCTAGTGGATGTATTTAGAGCTCAGGTTCATTCTGTTTTTTAAAATGGATTGTAGATGAGCTATGTATGATCAATGTTATTCTATTTTTTGGTGTTAGGGATTGAACTCATGCATATTAAAAAAACACTACCACTGACTGAGCTATGTCCCCAGCCCCACTGCTATGTATGTTTTCTGTTATATGCATGAAACAAAACATTTGAAGTTGTATATGCATTCTATGGGATGGGACTTCATTCAGGGTTGATTTTCAAAGTTTGAATTTCTGATTAATTTTTATTTAGTTGTTAGTGAAAGGACCCCAAATGACAACTTTTTTTTTTTTTTTTTTAAATTTTGTACTACAATTGAAATGCTTGCAGGTGATTTAAAAACAACAGAATTGTTTGGTGATGTATGATTTCCTTCTGTCCCTCTGTTCTTATAGGAACACTTTTGTTACCACCTTCCTTTTTTTCCCCCCTTTTGAATAGGAGGTGAGGGATTTGAGCAAAATACGTTTAGATGTCTTTTTATATATGTTTACCCATATGTTCTGAATCTATCTTCACTAGCCTATTTAGAAGCATTTATTTTGAGACATAGAAGACAGCACTTTTAAGTTGAACATTTGGCTTTTAAAAATATATTTCAAGGAAGCCAAAGCAGGGAAGTAAATGTATTTTTCATTGTTGTATCAGAATTTTTAATTTTCTGTTTTAAAAATGCACTTTGAGAGTTTCATAGATGATGTGTTTCTTAACCTCAGCCATCCCATGTAGATCAGTTGTCAATAGATGTAAGAACATTGAGGAACAACAACTTCAGAAATGGTTTGTCATAACTGGGTGTGCCATAACTCATCCATAGGTACATACCCTTGAGAAACTCTTACACATGTGCCAGGAGATGGATATAAAATTGTCATAATGGCAGCATTTGTAACAGGAAGAAAACGAAAAAAAAAAATGCTGGGAAGACCCCAAGTCAACATCTTTGTTGGATATATAGTGTGATGCATTCCTACCATGGAATTCCATAGAAGTGAAATTGAACTACAGCTCCACGTGTGAACCTGGATGACATCAACAGTATAATAATGGTCAAAAGAGCAAGTTACAGAAGGATTTATCCACTGTGGTTCCATTACTGTGCTGGTTAAAAACAGGCTGTTATATACATGGTAAATGAAAGAAAAATAAGGAAATGATTGACACAATTCAATGTCAGCTGGTGCTTTGGAAGTTTGGAAGGAAATGTGATCATGGAAGGCAAAGGGGTCTTCAGAGCAATTGGTGACACTCTTTGAAGTTGGATGGGCATTTTCTTTTAAAATTATGTTTATGTGCTTTGCTTTTGTATGTATGATATTTCTTAATAAAATTTAAATTTAAAAAGTGTGGGAAAGGTCTTGGTGTAGATAGTGACTTATAACATGTGAACATAATGTACTTTATAGAATTAATCCTCAAATGCCTGGCAGATTGAAAAGGTACTGTTTCTGGACTGCCAAATTCAGAGGCATAGTCATAGTTACTAAAAGCTAGAAACAAGACCTAGTTATGTTTCTTTGTGGTATCTTCTTACCCCCTTTTAATCTTAACAATTTAAATTTAACAATTTTAGTTTTGGTGCTAACCCGGGAGTGGATCTTTTCTGTTTATGCTAGTTTGAAGGGAAGCTTTTCTCAGACATAAGCCAGTCCAGAGGGGGAATCTGCTGAGCCACGCCCTACTCCTTCCCGTTTGTAACAGAGTTAATCTCTCTTTGGTTCTTGCTCTGATTTTAGTAGGGGTATAAGAAATAGTTAATACAGCTGTTTCTCTTTAAAAGGAAGAAAGTGATTGAAACTTGAAAAGCACCTGCAGATGCATTAGGTTCACATAGCTAAGGCCTCTATCATCAGTTACTAGTTGCCTTCTTCCCCCCAGTCCTGCTCTCCAGATGAGACCTTTTTTTTGGGGGGGGCGGGTATTGGGGATTGAACCCAGAGGTACTTAACCACTGAGTTAATGTCCCCCACCCATTTTTACATTTTATTTAGAGTTGCTTAGGGCTTCGCTAAGTTACTGAGGCTGCTTTTTTAAAAAAATTGTTCAAAACATTACAAAGATCTTGACATATTTCATACATTTGATTCAAGTGGGTTATGAACTCCCATTTTTACCCCATATACAGATTGCAGAATCACATCGGTTACACATCCACGTTTGAGGCTGCTTTTGAACTCAAGATCTCTGGCCTTGGCTTCCCGAGTCATTAGAATGCCTCACCGTGCGTAGCCACAGAGGAAACATGGAGTGAGGTCTCAACATCCTTCCAAGTGCCATATATAGTAAAACCAGATGTAGCTCCCTACCCTAGTAAAACAATTTAAAAGTCATAAAGTGAAATTGTACCTTGTGTACATTTTACAATCAATGACTTAGGTAAAAAACTACTGTCAACTTATACTTGAAACTATTTTGCTGTGTGGTTCTTTCCCTCCCTTTTGGGGTGTAGACTTTATTAATTTGGGTTTTGAGTTTGCTCAGAACCTTGTGATTAAATGGATTCTCTTGTAGATCATAGGAGGTACTTGTGTAAGTTCTGCATATTAGAGTAGTAGAAGCTTTCATCCTGACAGTGATTTTGTTTCAAGTAATAGGCTTATCAGATGCATTTAAAAACAACCTAAAAATCTTGTATTTCCACAAATGATGAATTCAGGCTGTTTATCAACCCTTGGGCCCCTGCCTAAATTTTCCTCAAAGTAAAATTGAAAATACTTTAGGAAGGTGTCACTTGGGGATTGTCCTGTCACCACCACAATCTCTTGGCATTGGGACACTGGGCTTTTTTTTTTTTTTTTTTTTTTTTTTTTTTTTGGTACCAGGGATTGAACCAACAAGAAACATTTTCTGCCCTTTTTTTGTTTTATTTCGAGACAGAGTCTCCCTAACCCTTTAGGTGTCACTAAATTCCTGAGGCTTGTCTCAAACTAGCAATCCTCCTGCCTCTGGAGCATCTACGATTATAGGTGTGCCACAACACCCAGTGTAGGTCATTACTATCTTTTTTCTTTTTTTTCATTACTATGTTTTTTAAAACATGCATAAGATGGGCATGGTGGTGCACACCTATAATCCCAGTGACCCAGGAGTGGGAGGCAAATTTGAGACCAGCCTGGGAAATTTAGCAAGATCCTATCTCAAAAGTAAAATAAAGAATATGTGGCATAGGTGCTTAGTTACATTCATTGATGTAGCCATGGATGCCAGTTAAATTGCATTAACATATTACATTCCATGAATGGTGGGATGGGATTCCCAAGCCTATACCATTAACCATTTCCTCTTGAACATTGGGTAGAAGTGTTTGCATAATGCTTATATGTCTTTTCCTCACTCTTGATCATCACTGAGCTTTTGAGAAGTAAAAAAGAAACAGTGACCTGTTTCATATGCTGAAGATCCAATTAAAGCATTGAATTTGCCCACAGGGAGCTTTGGTATTTATGTATACCTCTTCTGTAATGATCAGAAATGACATCATAGTCTGTAGAAGTTATGGATATGTAAAGAAGTGGTAGTGTAGTGTGTGTGAGAGTAAAAGTGGGTAAGCGAGCAGCTAATGAGTGCTTAACAAAATACAAGTAGTTGTACTAGAAGTCAACTAGAAGAGTTGATTCAGATTCTAGGCAGTGTAGGGAGGAACTTAGCATATATTTGATGACAACTGACCTTGGAAATAGATGTTAGGTTAACAGCTGTGCTATCTCCTTCTCACTTGACTGAATTCAGTGGTTTGGGCTATGCTTGACTATTCTGTAAGTTTTCTTTTAAAAAGTCTTAAAGGTAGTTACTTGGGTTATATAAATCGTGCCATTTTATGGGTAAGTTTAAAAGTATGCAGATAGGACTGGGGATGTAGCTCATTGTAATTGCCTAGCATACACAAGGCTCTGCATTGGATCCCTAGTATCACCCAAAAAGAAAGTCAAGTGTTTTTAAAAATAGGGATTGTTGCTCTGCCCTTAATGGGGTTCACATGAAGGATACCCCTGTCATTTGCTCTGGCTGAATCTCATCAAAGCATACTGATTCCTAATCAGGATTGGGGTGCAACACTACAAAATAATTTGCTTTGGTGTGGATGTGATAGTTGTGTTTGTCAAAGGGCCACATCCCAGCCCTCTTTACTTTGAGACAGGATATATTTAAGTTGCCCAGGTTGGCCTCCAACTTATTCTTCTTGCCTTACTTTAGCCTCCCAAGAAACTGAGATTACAGTCAAAGCCCTTTTGAATTTACTCTTCTCCCAGCTCAGAATTTGGAGATAAGGAATTATATTTTCCAAAGTTCAAACATGAAGTCAAATTTCATGTGTATCCAGCATTATCATTATAAAATAATGATTCCTGTTTAATTTGGGGGGTTAATAAGTCATTTTTGCGGCATTACTATTGTAGCAGGACTTTGCTGTTAGAGATGGTGTGTATTGTATCCATTCAGAGCTTCCATTTTTCATTAAAAGGAGTTCTATTTCCTCAAAGTCCTGTAGTCTTCGAATGTCTTTGTCCTAAATATGGAAAAGAAATTATGTAATGGTTTATAAATACTCGATGAAGTCATGTCATCTTGGGTTCTTGCCTACACTCCTATTTCTCGTTGTTTTGTCTTTATCCACTGTAAACCATTAGCACTTGAGAGTTGCGGTGTTTGTTGTTGTTGGTGGTATCCTTCTGCACTGGGGGTTGAACCCAGAGGTGTTCATCTATATCCCTCATCCCCAGCCCTTTATTTTCTATTTTTTGAGACAAAGTCTTGCTAAATTGCTCAGACTGGCCTGCAACTCGGAATTCTTCTGCCTCAGCCTCCTGAGTAGTTGTGGTTGGATTGCAGGCGTGCTGCACTGCACCGGCTCCTATTGGAGGTTTCTAAGGGGATGATAGTCCCACTTGATGCTGCTGAAGACAATGGGCAGGGCAAACATGTTTTAAAGCTAACTGCCAAGAATATGCCATAGCTGAGACACCAATAAAAATTGCCAAGGCACTTTGAAAAAAAAAAAAAATACTATCTGAAGAAATGAAATTTTTCTGACCTGGGGATATAACAACACTTGCCTAGCATGTGAGGCACTGGATTTTATCCCCAGCACTGCCAAAAAAGAAAAGTTGTTCCTTCTGAAATTAAAATTTGAGATATGCATTTTCTTTTTTATTTTTTCACAAAACTTTTGTCAGTGGACCTTTATTTCTATGCAGTGCTGAGAATCGAACTCAGTGCCTCTCACATGTGCTAGGTAAGTGCTCTACCACTGAGTTACAACCCCAGCCCAGAGGTCTGCATTTTCAATCTGGAAAATAAATGAATTTGGTTTTCTGCAATTACAGAGGCAGACCTTTGCTAAACAAAGAGTGGGCTTGTGTTTTCTGTCCTGAGGACTATGCCACCTTTTGTCAGCCAGGCAGATTTGCAGAGATTGCAGTGCCAAAAATACTGAATTGCAACTCCTAAGTTGGGAAATCACTTGTCATTCAGAGGTTTTTAAAGAGGTCATGGATTAGTAGTTATTCAACGTTATCTGCTACCTTGCTTGATCATTCTATAGGCTGAATTTCTAATATCTTTAATTTCATTTTCATATTAGAAATGCAGCAGTTGACTCACAGAACATTCCCACCTCATTTAGAAACTTGTAAACCTTACCTTTCTGAGCAGAGTGTTAGGTAGCTTTCTGATCTTCTCCACTTGCTCTGGGTTAATCCCCAGTTCACAGCAACTCACTTTTAGTAGGTTTTGATAACTCAGCTCTTGTCTGTGCAGTTCAATTTCAATGAAGTCATTTTCTTTGGGGCTCTGAATTCTTACTTTAAGCACCAACTCTAGATCGCCCATAAATTAAAATTTAATTTTAAAAATACGCATTTTAGAGACTTTGGACATTATCATTTATTACAGCATAGATGATCCTAAGTACTGAATAATAAGTAGACATGGAGTTTCCATAGACTAAACGTTTTTCATTCATAAGCTGATTTTTTTTTCTTTTTTCTTGCATGCTGAGCAAACTTCAGGATGTATTGCAAACAGAAAGCTTACAGTTTGAAAGCAGCCAACAATTTAGATATCAATTTTGTTTCAGGGCTGGGGATCAAACCCAGGACCTCACACATGTGGGCACTGTCCATTGAGCTACACTTCCAGCTCACAGCCAAGGACTTAAAATATGCAGTGGGTATTTATATGCCTCACCCCTGGGCAATGCATAGCAGTTGTTTTTACCCTGGTTATTTGGAAAACTTCAGGGACATGTCTCACTGAGCAGAGTGCAAACTTTGTGATTCCTACTACACCCCCTGAGAGGAGGAGTCTGCCCTCTTTTGGAATAGTGGTACTAAGTGTAAGTCTTCAATCTACTGTCCTGAGAAGGATTATATGGCCTAACAGTGCACTGTAAGCCACCTGGTGAATTTGGCTTTGCAACATGGTGGAGGGCTTGAGTCCTCACCTAGGCAGGTGTTGTTAGGTTTGGCATTAACACTTGGGGCACTTGTCGAGTGTGGACTGGTGCCTTCTTGTTTATGTTCACCTGGAAGAGAATTAAAAGAAGGAAAAGTTGAGAAGCAGCAGCACCTCAGCATGTGGCTGGTGGCCAGATCTGCGGGTCAGATGAGGGACAATGACGCTCTCCAGTCCTGCCCTGCAGCCTATCCTCCCCTTCTTAGGCGGAAAGCCAGGTCAGGAAAAGGGCAGTAATTACTTTCAATCTTGAACAGTAATTTTCCTTAATCACCACCCAGATCATGAAAGGGAGCTGAGACGGTATTTTTAATGGTGTATAATGTGGGGAAGAAATATTTATAATGTGTGTGCTTAGGATTCCACTTAAATATTTTCAACCCTGAGTGTTTTATGTTTAGATCGCTAGCAGAGTTACACAGCTAAAAAAGGTCGCTTTATAAGGAGAAACGTTTTCACCCAGAGGGAAGAGAAGTATTTGCATAGTGCTTTGCATGAGTCAGTCCTTTCACATACTTCTTTCTCCCCTATCCACTGGACACAGAAAGCCTGACCTATACCAGACACCAGGCCAAGCCCTTGGGGAAATGATTAAGAAACAACTCCAAGAGATCTCTTCTAGAGTTTATAGGCTGGCAGCAGAAATACATTAGTAAAGGGGAAATCATGAGGGCGCCTGGTGTGGTGTGCCGAAGGCGAGCCCTGCAGAACTGTGGAAGTATATAAGGGGTCAAGAAAGGTTTCCCTGAAGGTGGAGCCTCCGACCTCCATCTAGAGGATTAAGAGTTCTAACCAGTTCCAAAGGACAGAGGGTGGGAGGAGCTTCCGGGCCCTGTGGGAGAGGAAAACAGCCCACATGTAGCTGCAGGGCAGAGAGGCAGTAGCAGCTTGATTATGGGATTAGCCTTGTGCTGTCCAGTTAAGTAGCCACTTGTCAAATGAAATTAGATACACACTGGATTTTGAAGACAGTGTGGAAAAAAATTTTTCGTTCATTTTTGCTACTGATTACATATTGAAATGATGATGGTTTGGATATATTGTATGAAATAAAGCATTAAAATTTGTTTTTAGTTGGACACAATATCTTTTTTTTTTTTTTAAAGAGAGAGAATTTTTTATTTATTGTTTCTTTTTTTTAGTTTTCGGCGGACACAACATCTTTGTTTGTATGTGGTGCTGAGGATCGAACCCTGGCCGCACGCATGCCAGGTGAGCGCGCTACCGCTTGAGCCACATCCCCAGCCCAGGACACAATATCTTTATTTTTGTTTATTTTAATGTGATGCTGAGGATCGAACCCAGGGCCTTGCATGAACTGGGTGAGCGCTCTACCACTGAGCCACAACCCCAGCCCCCCTGAAATAAAGCATATTATCAAATAAAGCATATTATCATATTACTTCCACTTGTTTCTACTTTATAAAATGTGGCTACTAGAGAACTTTAAATGCAAACGTGGCTTGAATTGTATGTATGTTGCCCAGCACTATTCTAGTGAAAGGTTTTGGTCTCAGTTTTCAGCAGGAATTGTCATAATCAGACTTGCATTTAGGTTGTGGCAGAGAGGAAGGGGACCGCTCACTGCTCTCAAAAGAATCATGTGAAGATTAGACATAATTTCCATTTCAGACTAAAACATTGGGGCTAAAAGGTGAAGATCTTGCTCCAAGTTAGTAAATGGCAAGACCTGTGTGCAGCTGGGCCTGGCTACGTTATCTGTGGAGCCAGTTACAAAAGAAAAGTGAGGAAGGCAGTCTCCCCTTTCCACAGATGGATGACCTGCGAGGGACTGTAGCCTCACCCCCTGGACATCCTGGCTGCCTGGTGGGGGAGCTGAGAGGCCAGCTCTTCCTGCGGCCACCCTTGCAGCATACCATGGTGCTGCCTGCCCCTTCCTTGACTCCTGATCCTTCTTATGTCTGAGCCCCATCAAGGATGCAGATGACAGCAGAATGAGGGACTCTAGCAGATGGTTACAGCTGGGGCTGGCCTAGGTGTGAAGGCCACAACGCCCCCATGCTCCATTGTTCTATCTGATTCCACTTTTTAAAATATAAATTCAAAGCTAAAATTAGAAAAAAATTCAAGTCAATGACCAGAACATGACATTCCAAGCCTGTGGCCTTTCTGAATGCAACCCTTGTGCCACAGTGCCAAAGCCCCTCCAGCAAAGAGGCATCGTGCCTGGCTTATTAGCCTTTCTTTGCACAGCAATAAAGTCCCTCTCCCAGTACATGGGGCTCTGCAGTCTAGTCCTTGCCCTTCCACCCTGAGCCATGGAGGTGGCTTGGCACACAGTGAGACCCCTCTCCCAGGCAGTGACTCAGGCACCAGTCCAAGACAGGAAAGATACCTTCCTGTCACTTCAACTTACCCGACACATGATGCAAGAACTTTCCACCCTAGTCCACCATGCTTAAAAATCTCTTATTGTCTGCTGGGCGCACTGGGGTAAGCCTGTCATCCCAGCGCTTGAGAGGCTGAGGCAGGATGATCACAAGTTTGAGGCCAGTCTCAGCAATTTAGCGAGGACCTAAGCAACTTAATGAGACACTGTCTCAAAAAATAAAAATGGGGGCTAGAGATGTAGCTCAATGGTAAAGCACTCTGTGTTCAGTCTCCAGGACCCAAAATAAAAGTGTTTTGGGGGTCCAATTAGCACATCAGATCATCTGTGGATAAGTAGGCTCTCACAGAGATCTGAGAGCACTTTTTTAAGTCAGAGAGATTTGGGTCTGTTCTTCCTCAGCTACTTAGTAGCAGTGACAGTTTAGACAAGTTTATATAACCTATTTGAGCCTCAGTTTTCTTTTTTTTTTTTTTAATTTTTTTTAAAGAGAGAGAGGAGATAAGAAAGAGAGAATTTTAATATTTATTTTTTAGTTTTCGGCGGACACAACATCTTTGTTTGTATGTGGTGCTGAGGATCGAACCCGGGCCGCATGCATGCCAGGTGAGTGCGCTACCGCTTGAGCCACATTCCCAGCCTGAGCCTCAGTTTTCTGATCTGAAAATGAGGTTCATCATCTCTGGCTCACAGTAAGAAGGCAAGGAGGAAGTCCACAGAAGGTGGACACTCCTGGCACAAGTGAGCACCAGGAATTGCTGGCTGCTACCAGCATTTGTCATAGCTGTTGCTACCTGCGTCCCCCAGAAGGGACACTTGGTCCAACTGCTCTACTCTGACAGACTGTCAGAGTGCGAGAGGTCATGGGCCCTGCTGGGCACAGGATCACCCTGGACCAGACTTCCCCACTCCCCTCCACATGTTCATTGAGGGCTGGGATGGAAGCAGAACTCCAGACTCACCTGCTGACTTCTCTCCGATATCCAGTTCCGCCTCAGCCATGGGTCACCTCTGTGGTCCACAGATCAGCAGCCCCTCTTACCTTTATGCACAAACTTTCAACCAAATAAAAAAGTGCTTTCTAAAGCCTCCGCACATCTGCCTGCAATAAAAACAGTATGTTCTTGTCATCAGCCCCATAAGATGGGGCAAGGTCATTTTTATTTTACGGCTCAGCAAACTGAGACTTCCCCATATGGGCCACCAAATGCCGCAGTCTGGCTGGGCACAATCAGGAGCCACTTGTCAAAAGAAACTAACTTTATTTTTAGAACCACACACGCCAAACAAAACAGCGTCTCAGGAAAAACCCTCAGAGCCTCAACTGCCACCACCGGCTTTCCACAAGCCTCTCTCTCCCACACAAGCTTCTCTCCACCTCCCACAATCCTCCTGCTCTTGAGGCCGATTGGCTGGGTCACTTGGGCGGAGCCAAAAAAGTCCCCCAATGAGCAGCTCCCTGGTCTGAAAGGGCAGGGAAACAGCCCAATGAGCATCACCGCAGAGGAGCCAATCAGCTAGATGTTGCTGGGGCCGCTGTGAGCCAATCATCAGCCGGCAGCTGGAAGTTTGCTGGGGCCCCTTGGGCTGTGGCTCTCAACAGGTGTGTTGTATGATTTGCACTGGGTGATGCAAAGGAAGAAAGAGACTGAAGTTCAAGGTTCCCCACTCCTTCCCCAGACTGTCCACTGGGAATGGTGCAGACCAGGCCAACAGTACTTATGTAAAGGAATGGCACCCTTCAGAGGGGAGACCTGAGGGGCACAGCCAGGCACCCAGCCAGACCCTAGCCTGGAATCTAACCCACCTTGGGAAAAAGTTAGAAGCTACTACATTAAGGGTAAAAAATAAATCCAATACTTAGTTTCTGGATTGAACAGACTCTGCCTCCTCCCCTGTTGTCTCTTCCTTTTCTCTCAGCAGCTGTGCATGACAAGAAAGAAGTAGGAAGCTCCCAATTCATACCTGGGCAGACAGCCTTGTGGATGATCCTGGATCCCTTGATTCTAAGCATTGAAGTGGAAAAGGCAGGCTGGAGCAGGAGGTTCCGTGATGGGTGGGTGGGGCAGCACAAAGTCCTGTCTCAAAGGCCAGACCAAGACAGGAGGCATTTTAGCAATGGGAACCTTTTGTCTGGGTGACCCACTTCATTTAACCCTCCTGAGACAGAGGATAGTCAAATCGATGAGACAGCCAGTGGGCTTCAGCATCAAAAAGCTGGAGGGGGGTCCAGGTTGTGGCTCAGTGATAGAGCGCTTGCCTAGCACTCGTGAGGCACCACTGAGAGCTGGGGCTGGGGTTGTGGCTCAGTGGTAGAGCACTCGCCTGGCACGTGCAAGGCCCTGGGTTCGATCCTCAGCACCACATAAAAATAAACAAAATAAAGATATTGTGTCCAACTACACAATGTACTTTTTTTTTTTTTTTGGTTGTTGTTCTTTTAAAGAAAAAGCTGGAGGGAGGCAGGCCTGGAGGTGCATGACTCTAATCCCAGGGATTTGGGAGGCTGAGGAAGGAGGATCTCAATTTCTAGCCCAGCTTAGGAAATGTAGCAAGATCCTGTCTCAAAAATTTTATCTCAAAAATAAAAATGGCCCCAGGGATATAGCTTAGTGGTGGAGCACCCCTGGGTTAAATCCCCAGCGCCACAAACAAGACAAAAGGAAAGGAAAAAAACAAAGAATAACTATTAGTGGCTTGAGAGGCTGAGACAGGAGGATCACAAGTTCAAAGTTAGCCTCAGCAACTTACCCTTAACCAATTTACCTGTCTCCAAAAGAAAAAAAAAAAAGATGAAGGATTAATCTTCATCTGGGGCTGGGCTCAGTGGTTAAACATCCTGGGTTTAATCTCCAGTACAAAAATACAACAAAAATTAAAATACCCCAGCTGTGACTGCCCCCTCTGCCACTCTACAAGGAGTTTGAGTTAGTTGGTCTGGGTTGGTTGCCTCCTGGATCCTGGAATTTTTAAAGCTCCCCAGCTGATGGTAAGGTGCAGCTAAGGCTTGATTTGGCCAACCTGCTTAAGAAGTAACTGGGAAAACTGAAGCCTTGCGAAGTGAAATGCTGAGAGTCACGTGGCCAGCCACGCACAAGCTGACCTCCCCAGCCGGGCCCTGGTGTCTTCCTGCCAGGAATGGAGGAAGGTGGGGGCTGTGGGAGGAGGAAGTAGAGGGATCTGAGAATGGGGAAGAAAATGTACTTTGGCTAACCCGGCTGCCAGGGTGTGGGGAGCCATAAAAAGGGCACCTGAATGGGCAGGGCCCAGAGGTGCAGAGGAACTGTAGATGAAGGCCTGTCTGGATGGGGGGCCTGCTCATTCCCTCGCTCACCTCATGTGTATTCATCCCCCACTCCCCATTCAGGCATTCCTTCACAAGGTCGCTCAACAACACTCACTTTTTTTTTTTCTTTTTCAGGGGGCATTCTTTTAAAATTTTTATTTTTTAAATGAAAGTGTTGCATGTTCCAGTTTTAAAAAATCTAAGAATGCTAAAAATCAGAGCCCAGTAGCAAGGAAGGAGGGAATGTTTGCTTGGGGAGGTGACCAACTGCCACATGGGCCTCTGTGGGTTTTTTCCTTCATTTACCTGGATACTTAGTGGTACCTTTGATCTGTATATTAGCTACTGTCTGTGTGCCTGTGGGAGGTGGCATTTAATTTTGATATACAATGTCTCAAGCTTACAGAAAAGTTGCAAGAACATAAACCTTTTACTGACTATTATCATTATGCTGTCTTTGCTTTAATGGTCCCTCTAGTTTGGTGTATGCTTGGAATCCCAGCAACTTGGGAGACTGAGCAGGAGGATGGAAAGTTCAAGGCCAGCTTCAGCAATTTAACAAGACCCTGTCTCACAATAAAAAAATAAAAAGAGCTAGGTATGTAGCTTAGTGGCAAAGTGCCCCTGGGTTCAATCCCCAGTTCAGAAAAACAAACAAACAAATCTCTCTATGTATATTGGATATATTTATATGTATAACATACACCCTTACACCCACATTTAACTCCTAAACCATTTAACTAAATTGTACATATCATACTCCTTCACCCTTAAATATTGCAGACTATAGGGTTGGGGTTGTAGCTCAGTGGTAGAGTGCTTACCCAGCACGTGTGAGCCCTGGGTTCGATACTCAGCACCACATAAAGATAAATAAATAAAATAAAGGTATTGTATCCATCTACAACTACAAAAAATATATAAAAAGATTGCAGACTATATATATATATATTTTTTGGGGGGGGTACTGGGGACTGAACTCAGGGTCTCACTGAGTTGCTTAGCACCTCGCCATTGCTGAGGCTGGCTTTGAACTCGAGATCCTCCTGCCTCAGCCTACTAAACCTCTGAGATTATAGGTGTGCATCACCACGCCCAGCCAGACTATATTTTTAATATCAATTTTTTTAAAGATTTCTAAGACATAATGATCCAAATCAGAAAAGCTGACATTGATTAACACTATGAGATCAATCACAGTCCCTGATCAAATTTTATCACTTAACTTACCCATATCATTTTCAGCTTTTCTTTTTTCTTTTTTCTGCCTGGTCTAAGATCCAATCCAGGATCATGCCTTGCATTTTATTTTCATTTCTCTTAAATTTCTTTAATCCGGAACACTTCTTCAGCCTCCCCCTTCCCCCCCATGACCTTGACATCCTTGGGTTTGTCGGCTGTTGCCTCGTGTTTAGGTGGATTGTGTGTCTGGGCAGTAACACCCCAGCAGTGATCTCCTCTCCTTCTTGATGCCTCCTATCAGGATACTCACACAGGTGTGTCCGTTTAGGACAGTAACTTTAGTCTCTTGTGGAAGGAGGTGTCTGCCAAGCTTTCTCACTGTGAAGCGAAGCTTCATATAAAAAAGTTTTAACTATAATTAATGCAGAGATACTGTGAGACCAAAATAGATAGCCTGTTCTTCAAAACCTCACCCTTTAGTTTTTAGCAACAGTTGATTTTGAACTGAATCAGTTGTTACTAAGATGATTCGGGGAAAAATTCTCTAACTCCATTTTTCTTTCTACATTAATTATCTGAGATTCTACTGTAAGAAAGCCCTTTCCTTCTCATTTATTCATTTGTTATCAGTATGGAGGGCTGGGGGTAGAGCTCAGTGGTAGAGTGCTTGCCTAGCATACACAAGACCCTGGGTTTGATCCCCAGCACCAGGAAAAAGGGTGTGGAGGGTGGAATTTGCATCAGTTAGCTCTGGGAATTTCACAAAAAACAATTAATCTCATTGTCAGTATGGACTCATGGATTATTATTCTATTCCATGGGTCATAATCCATCAATGTCTCATTTAGTTTTATTGTAGGGACAAATGAGGCAAGGCATCGAAGATAGCAGGAAACAGTTTTATTTGGCTGCAGCCAGGTTCAGAGGGCACAGCTTTTGCTGTAATCAGTTAATTCCCTGAACCCCGAGTTCAGGTAGTTTCAGAGTTTAATACCCAGCATGTAAGAGGAGGGACTCAGAAGTTCACAGTCTGCAGAAGTTCACATAAAAGCAGCTTTTTCGTTCACTGTTCTGGGCAAGTTAACTCTTCAAGGACAACACCTGAGAAGGGGAGAGCTTCTGCTCCCCTTCCTTTCCTCCCCCTGCCAGCTGTTACCATGGAGCCCATTTGTAACTTATCTTAAAAATGTAGACATCTCTGTGAAGCCCAGCTCAAGGCCAGAGGCCTTGTTTGCACATTTCTACAAAGTACTATACTGGATACGTTTGTGAAAAACTAGTAAGGGGGTGTCCAGCACCTGGAGTGCTTGTATCTTCCCGGTCAGTGGCCAAGTAAACAGGGTGACTTGAAAATAGGAAGATTATCTACATTGGACTCTTTTGCAGAGACCCTTTTGCTGACAGTCCTAAAAACAGTCTGGGTGAAGATTTCTAGGGAAGCCCAGTTAAGACTTTTCTGTGGAGAAAGGGGGTGCCACTTTAGTTTGATGCATAAACTATGCCAACTTTATCTAGTAGGGTTCCCTTACACCTGCTCCCTATAATCTTTGACAAATCCCTC